CTTTCTAGGGTCATAGTTTTCTCAGTTTAGAGGACAAAATAAATAAATAAAATAAAAAAAGGGTCATTAAATGCTCCTTTCTACTTTGATTTTTCTTTCTTTGTATTATTTTAAGAATTACAATTTTTTTCGTTCCCTTGACCGAAATTTTTGCAAATTTTATTTTAAAAATGATCAGGTTTTCCTAGAATTTTACATGCAAATACAGTAAAAAAACCTGTGTAAGTCGGATCGCATAGTACCGAATATTTTTTTACGCTTTGGCATGCTTCCGTTTTGAACAGGGTTTCTTTTTTAACGTAGAGAATCGCTTCGTTAAGTAGAATTTTATCAGTTTAGGCAGGTTTCCGTTTTGGATAGGTTTTACCTCACTATTAAGGAAGTAGTGTACTCAAGGGTCTTGGATAAAGAGAGTAAGAGGATGAGAGATGTATATACAGTATATATATTTATCCATACTTACGAATCCATACTTATCCAAGTATTCCTTATCTGTTATTGTTAATATTTCTTGCTAAACAAATAAAATGGTAAGGAATACAGGAAACCTCTGAACGACGGCCACTGAAGAGAACATAAAAAAGTCCCATATCAAGAAACACAGTAAAACCTTTGAATAACGGCCATGGCAACATAAAAATGATTGCTATGAAGATATAGTAAACCACTGAAAATAGCCACTGAAAGAACGTAAAAGAAGGTAGTTACCAAGATACAGTAAACTTCTGAAAGACGACCACTGATGTAAATATAAAAAATGGCCGTTGTTTGGAGGTTATTTTGCAAGTATTTCATGCTGTTTTTATGTGATAAGGACACGACATTCCTGATAATACATTTGTCAAATAAGTTAATCAAATTTTTCAGAAATCTTTCGAACATCCGCGAAATGAAAAGTATGTCATACGTCACACTCGTACATAAAAGATCTGCAAAACTTATCATTTACTTTCCATTCTTCGCGCCACCAAATCTAATCAGATGCCATAAATGCCGAATGTAATCTCATATACTAAGGTTATTCGGAGGTGGACTCGAGTCATTTTGGTGGTAGATCTCACGTGAAAGCACTCTGTGACGAATGAGGAATACGAAATGCACGATACATTTTTTTCATCCCTTCAGCTTTCAAACATGTAAATCCTTACAAATCTCTTCACGAATACGCCGAAACAACGTCACATATACAAATTTATTAAAAATATATAATTATTAAAGCGCTATGGGGTCTTATTTGCCGGCTGCCAGCATTAACTGGACAAGAATTGTATTATTTGGGTAGAAGATTGGAGGCCAATCTCGTTGACCTCGATTTCTCTACCTCTTCTCTTCTCTCTCCCCCCGTTACTGCGACTCCCGCTCAGACGTAATTTATTGTCGTATCCTTCAAGCGTATAATCTTACGACAAAACCGAGTGGAATGAAAGTGCTTAATAAAAGTAAAGAAAATGAAACTAAACAAAGGAAAGAAACGTTCCGGAGTAGATTGAATTATATTCGAGTTTTATCCCTCACATACAGATTTCGGATTGATAAAAATGTCTTGAAATTGCTCCATCCCCCTTTAAAATTGTTTACTGGAAATAAATCAGTTAAGAGGCGCTTCTTAATAGAAATATTTTACATTTTCTAATTTTAGTTTTCCTTCTTTTTTTGTTATTAATTTTCTTTACATTTCATCCTTTTAAAATGAATGTAAATAAATTCTTTACGTTGTGATCTGGATAAAGTATATAATATATATATATTTATTTATTTACGTACTTTACTTGCAATAGTAGTAGTGTATTTATATACATAGAAATACTGCTACTAATACTTGTACAAGTGAATATTTCTGTATATAATTAGCTTACAGTATAATGCTATATAGCATAATATACTGTAATATTACGCTATATTATTGTATAATATGAGTTATATAGAGCAATATTATTAAATATTATACTGTATGAATTATACAGATACATTACTGTACTATGTTATTAGAGAAATATTGTTGTATATAAGTTTGATACAGTTACTGTACAGTAAAATATACAATATTACTACTATATAGTAACATATAAATCTGTATAAACTGATTTACAGTTAATTTGAGACTCTCTTTTACAAAAAATAAAGGTTTACCCTACTGTAGTGCCCCTCAGACTACACTACACAATCTCTAGGTATGAAGTGTGGAGGTAATTTCACCCTAATTCAGTGTTTTTTCAGAACTTAAAATATATAAAATATAATTACATTTTGCAAATTTTGAATCTCCGAAGATCCGAAATTTTGTGTCGTTTTGACAGTTTTTATATATATATAACCTCGATATTGCGACCTCTTGAATAACGCCATCCGCGTAAAGCGCCAACGAGAGACGATTTTGAGGCTACAAACTCCTAAAAATCAATTACTCATCGGACTGAAACGATACAAAACGATATAATGATTTTTGAAATCTCTCCCCCTTTAATTAGTTTAGTAAAGTTGTAATACAATTTCCTGTTAAACAATTTACATGAAAATATATATAATCGATGTTTGGAACGGGGAGGAAACAAATTTGGCAAGCGCTCTCTAATTGATTCCTCTCCCCCTAACAAAACTTGATGTTGCCGATCAATCCCCAGAATCTTAATATAATAATTATTGGAGATGCAAACTCAGATTTGCCAATTGAATCGATTAATCGAATTATTTTAACGGAAGTATCGATTATTAATGAAATATTTGTTTAAATGAAGTACCTCTGCAAAAATATTAAGAAAAATACTCATTTTAAGCTTGCATTTTATAACAAGTAAATGCTCTAATGTCACTCATTTTGAATGCATGCAGGACCTCGATTTAGCACCCTTCTATATAGTGCCACCCCTGTAAAGCGCCTGCACGTAAATACCGCAAACCTCTCCAATTCTAATGAGAAATTACGCGGATTTCGAGCTTATCTTGTTATTTATTGTTTGGAGCACTTCGATTTAACACCACACTCTGTATAAAAATTTACGTTATATCAATGTACAAATCGATAATTATTAATGATTTATTGAGTCGTTCTCACTCCTATTTAACGCAATTAAATTAATTTATATATATATATTATTCAATATTTGTCAGATATAGTTTGATTTTTAGTGTCGTTTCAATCGCCATTTTCACCTACACCGCTCATTTTCATACCAAATTGTACTGAAAGGAGGAGTGAGAAATTCTATAAGGTGTTAAAGTATCGTGCGATTTATTTTACAATCTTTCAGTACACACTAGAATTAAACCATTTGTCTTCGTCAGTTGTTCTTGTCTACCACTAAGTTTGGCTCTAAATTGAAATGTCGACTTCCTTTTCCATAATAATTGCATACATCAATTTTCATTACTCATCTCTTAATTGAAATCACTTGCTGAAATTTTCAAGTCAGGCCCTAGCAAGTGTAAACTTGCGAGGCCCTCGAAGCCTATTTTTGTACGTCTAATGCTTCTGCGATCTTTAAATATTGGACAAACCCCTCTGAGCAACGGCTACTAATCAGAACATAGGAAAAATGTCCGTTGTTCGGAGGTGGTAGTTATTATTGGAGGTTAATTTTTTTATATTTATATCCTAAGTATTTTAAGTTAATTACAATTAATTTTATAGATATAAATAAAAACTAAAGCGTAATTTTACCGTGAAAAATGAGTTTTAAGGACTTAATATTGTATTTTGATTACATGGGGGCTTTTATATAATTTCGGTGGAACATAAAGAAACAAACTGATATAAATGTATGTATTCAGGTTAGATAAGAAGAGGAACAAAATGTTTAGAAAACCATTTTCCATATAATCAATATGGAAACACTAGTCGAGTTGAAAGGTTATTCTTACGTAGAACAATACAGATTTTAAAGAAATTATTATTTTATTTATAAAAAATTCAAACCAAAAATTACGTAACCGAACCTCTAAACGACGGACACATTTCCTCAGTCTCGTTTCCTTTTGAAATAACCTCCGAACAACGGCCGTTCTTTACGTTTCCGTCAGTGGCCGTTATTCACAGGTTAGACTGCATAAAAATATTAAATATAAATAAATAAATAATATTTTATTTTGTATTTAAAGACCCAAACTTTATTTTTATTTATTTATAAAAAGAAATTCAAAAATTACACAGTTGAACCTCCAAACGGCGGCCACATATTCAGGAACGATTTCTTTCGAAATGTCTAAAAAATAACCTCCAAACAACGTCCAATTTTTTATGCTTCTGTCAGTGGCCGTTGTTCACAGGTTTGACTGCATAAAAATATTAAAATAATAATATTTTATTGTAGCGCAGATGAATATTTTAATCTTACTAGACGTATTTAAATGGAAAAAAATGAGCGTTATCATTTAAAGTATATTACTTCAATGCAAAATTCTACCTTCCATTTTCTTTTTTATCTCATAAATAAAATATTCTTTCATCCATAAATAGTAAAAATATATCCTGAAAGTTTCCTTTCAAAGTTGAACTTTCTCATTTTCAAAGTCCATAAAAAGTAATTGAATACCAACAATTTGTCATTTTAAACCTTTGATAATTGATTTTAATCATTTAAATACGGAAATTTTTCGGTGTTTTTCTCGTTTAATTTTTAATTTTTGATAAATTCCAGCATTAATTTCACTTATAAAATCGTACTTGGCCCGTGAGAAAGATGGGCACATCTACGAGTGGCGCTAGTTAGTGAGGATTATATAAATAACAGAGCTTTTGTAGGGTAATTTATGTTAAATTTTATAAAATATTTTTAACTTTTCGTGTTTTCTCTTAAATTTAAGCATTAAGTTAATTTATAAAACGTGTTTTCTTCGTTTACCTCACACCCAAAGATGGGCGCACGAGAGAGATGCGTCATCTTTGGGTGCGAGGTAATGCGGATTATATAAAAAATGATCCTAAATATAGCTGTGTTAATATTAAATTTCATAAAATTTTTTAATTTTTTAAATAAATCTCCGTATTTTTTGTACGTTTTCAGGTGGCGGTTTGTGAATCGAAGAAGGCGCACCATCGCTACTTGGTCCGAACCATCACCGAGAGGAAATGCCAAGATTGAGATTAAGAAGACTTTTTCTCACTTTGACAGCCATCGCTTGTGGTTCTTTGTTATTATTAAACTTCAAAATACGGGAAACAATCTTATCCGGAAGGACAGATCAAACAACGGAAGTTACACTGAGGAAATCAAACATCCGGGCTTTGTCGGTGGCTTCGACGACATCCGTTTTTCCGGGAATCGAAGAACTGGAGGAGTCCCAACCGACATTATCAAATATCGAAAAGTATTGGTTCATGAAAGATGGAATGATACGTCCTCTGACAATACCCAACGCATCACCTAAAGATTTACCACAGCCAAGGATCTGGCCCCACGAGGAAGATGGAGATCGAATAACTAATCAATTGATGTATATACCACCGGGATACGAACCGGAAGACAACACAACCAAACCACCTAAATTGAAGAAGATCTTATTATATTTCGGTAGGGGAGGTTGGCACGATTTACCAATGGGGCGCACGGTTTTTCAAAGAGACAAGTGCCCAGTCGATAAATGCGAACTAACCACGTCACACAGCCAAGCGGCAACGGTGGATGCCATATTCTTTAAGGATCGATTTTCATGGCCTAAGCACAAGAGATCTCCAAACCAAGTTTGGATCCTCTTCCTCTTGGAGTGCCCATTGCACACGCAAAGGTTCGGCAATTTGGGTGGGGTTTTCAACTGGACTGCCACGTATCGTCACGACTCGGACGTCGTTGCACCATACGAAAAGTTCGTTTCTTACTACGAAGAAAGTGTGCCTCTGCCCACAAACGTCCGCAAAAATTACGCAGCAGGCAAGACGAAGAAGGTCGCCTGGTTTGTCTCAAATTGTGCCGCCCGTAACCATAGACTACAATACGCAAGAGAGCTTTCGCGCCACATTCAAGTTGACATTTATGGCATCTGTGGTAACCATAGATGCCCCAGGACTCACGCTAGAAAGTGCTTTCAAATGTTAGATCGGGATTACAAATTTTATTTGGCATTCGAAAATTCGAATTGCAAAGATTACATCACCGAAAAATTCTTCGTAAATGGTCTAGGGTGAGTAATTCCTTTAATTTCTTTTTCTTTAATATTAATTACTTTTTCTAAATCAAAATAATGAAATAGAATCAAATTTCGTGCCAAAAATTCCCGATTTAATTAATGTAAGTTAATTTATTCGGTTGCAATACGGGTAATGCACAAATATAGGGTCTCACCTCTTTCTGAAAATATAAAAGTACATAAATAATTAACAAACTAATAAGGAATATCCAGAAATAAGGGTTTCTCATGGTTTCACCTCACCAAAAACCTCACAGAACGACATTTTAAACCCTTATCGGATGGCAGCTTCGTATGATGAGGGCAAAAGTCAGTCGACCGTGTTTTATGCGCGTTATCAAACACAGTCAACTGAATTTTGGGACAGAGCCCCAAAATTCAGTTGACCGTGTTTGGTAACGCGCATAAAATACGGTCGATTGACTTTTGGGCCACGCATATTTATGGTTATACAATCGTAAACCGAGAGTATACGTGGCCCAAAAGTCAGTTACCGTGTTCCAGATAAAATCGTAAACTGGGTTTAAAACAGCGAGCTTCTGTTAAATTAAATTAAATATTTGACAAGGTCAACTGACTTTTGAACCACCTTCTACGTTATTAATACAATAAAACTTGTCAAAAATGGAACCCGAATAAAACGGAAATCTTAAACGGGAAAAATTCATTTTCTGCGATTTTCTGTTATGAAAAAAACCTGTTCAAAACGGAAATCTGCCACATCTAAGGCTCCGGCTTAGGCAGGTTTTACTGTATATTGCAGTGATTTCTATTGATTTACAGGTTGGACGAATTACAGGAAAAATGTGATATTTAAATCAATTTTTCCATGTTATCAATTCGGAAATAATAAATTACAATTTAAGTTGGTATAATTGTAATCATTGTAAATTATTCATTCTATTTAAGCTAAACGATTAAATAATAAAGTTGTAATGATTAAACTGTTATTTATTAAACTGTTGGCCATGTGTTTTATCTAAATTTAACTTCTGTTCAAATATAAATCTTACTTAAATTGATTAATTTGTCTTTTATTCTAATTATAGGAGAGAAACTAATTTTAATGTGTGTGGAATGTACCTTGATAAATATTGAGTTTACTCATTGTATTGCTTGTGTAAATATTCCACATTTCCTAAGATGAAGTACTGTATTTTTACAGTATTCTTCATGTAAAATGCGTGTATAATACGCTTCACGATGCGTAATTGTAAGCATTATATCCAATCTTTTATGCTTCCCATTTACGTAAATGTACAGTATATCAGTATAACGCTTGTTTTTTTACAGTAAAGTATAACATTTTACATGTAAAATGTTATATTTTATTCTATACTTCACTATATTCTTACTATACTTTACTGTAAAATCGTACGATGAATTAATTCTGTATAACAGTACTTTTACAGTATTTTACGTGTAAATTACGTGTATAATATATTACACAATTCAGTTTGTTTTACGTAAATTATATCAGTATAACTGTTGTATTTTATGGTAAAGTATAGCATTTTACGTAATATTACAGGTAAAATGCTGTACTTTACTATATTGTAATTTATACGTAAAAGCACATTTTTACGTGTAAAATGCATGTAAAATACTTTTTACAAGTTACATATCTATACAGTATTTATCTTATATTATAAATGATTCTAATATAACACCTTTATTAGTATATAATATAGTATTTTACATGTAAAATACACGTAAAATACATATAAAATTATAAATTAATTACACCATTAAATATAAGGCAATTATTTCTACTTAAGGCATGTTTTAAAGTAAAATTTGTATTAAAAGTTTAAGGAAAATTCAATTTAAAAACGTAATAAAAGAGTATAAATCTTGCGTTAGAAAGATTTTTGCTTTTATTATAAAAAAAAAATATTAAAAAATTTTTGTGTTGGTTCCAAGAACTGAAATGTGAAGTGTGTAAGTACACGTAAAGACTCATAACGATTATTCTTTGTTTTTATATATAAAAAACTTCCTTAAATTTCAAATTTTGTAATAAAAAAATATAATATATTGATGCGAGAAATCAAATTCAGATTCTTTTTTTATTAAATATTGTACACTTACTGTTAGATAAATGTAGGTCGTAACACGTGTTCACCCTTCCATATATTGTCTTCTGTATTCCTGACTCCTTGCTAAAGTAGAAAATAAGAAATTCTATTTGGAATTTCCTTTCTGGAAAGAAAAAAATTGAGCTTTCAACGTATTCATTACTTTGATATTTTGTCTTTTAAATAAAATAATAATTGTTGAAGAGTGTAGAGGCGATAAGAGTGGCCACTTGGCTCATACCACACCCTGTCAGCCTTTTTGATGATCCCTGCTGATTCCTGATAGCGATCTGTGATCCTCCTACTATCCCTTCTCTGTTGATCCTCCTGCTGTCTCTTCACTGTTAATCCCCTGATGATCCTCTGTTAGTTTTCCTACTATCCTTCTCTGTTAATCCCCTGCTATTCCTTCTGTGTTGATCCCTCTGCTATCTCTTTTCTGTTGGTGTTCCTGCTGACCCTCTCTGCTGATCCTACTGCTATTCCCTTCTGCTGCTCTCCTCCCTCTACATGAGCTTAGAAATATTATTGCTATTTTATTTTTAACAAAATAACAAATAATTTACCTTTAAAATTTACGTTTCTTCTTTAAAAACACGATCAAGAGTTATAAATTAAAGTTTCTTTTGATGAAAAAGTGAAAAATTTGTCTTGTTTTATTGATTTTATTTACATTTCCTTCTGACTTTCGGAGAGAAGTAGGTCCTGTCTCATACATTCTCGGTTCATTTTATATTAAGTTCATTGAAAATATTAACTGACTTTTGAGTCATCTTTTACAATAATACACTCAACCTGTAAACGACGGCCACTGCACGGACCATAATTCTTTGACGGCAGTTTAGAGGTTCGGCCATACAATATTTTAACTTAAATTTATTCAAAGCCTTCGAGTAATATAATCTTAAATATTAATTATATATTATAATTTTAATTTAAACTTAATTAAATTTTTAATCGAGTTATAATTCACTTAAAATATATTTTAAATGAATTTCTAATAGAGATATTGTTTTATAAATTTTAAGTAGCGAAAAATCAAGATAATCACACTGGAAGAATACGTTTTGGTCATATTTAAGATCCGAATCCACGTCTTTTAGTAACAGGCAAAATACTTTAATCAATCTGCTTACCTTGTTTGTATAGGACAACAAGTGGCACGTCCGCGATGTCTCCCGGAAGGACTTCTTATGGGAACGGGACACTAAGTGTTACCAACGTAAAGAAAACCCTGAAAATGTGGGAAAGTGGGCATTACTTAAGTGTTAAAAACTTGAAGAAACCCCGAAAACCCCACGTGGGTAGCTTATTTGCGTGATGCGAACCCACGACCAGTGTTCAGTAGTTTTCTCCACTCGACCACTAGTGGCTTCAAAGAGATGAGATGATTTAAATAAAATTTATGTTTAAGGAGCATAAAATCGTCCACTGGAGAATTTCCTATTATCAAGATGTTATATATCATTGCTCGAGTTGCGTGACGTTGCGATTATTCGTGACGTGGCTTTATTTCATGTTCTTATATATTATATTTTCTTTATGTAACGTTTTGATTGTCTGTTTATTTACAGCAGACTTCTTATAATGGACAATTTACCGAATTTATAACCGAGCGAAACACGAAAACTAAACCATAGCAAATTCGTATTGAAATGCAAAAGGTAAACGAGATCTGCCTCCTGAAGCGTGTATCAAGGTACAGGCTGGCTCAAAAATCAGTTAACCGGTAGACTTCCGTAGAAATGGGCCTATTAGTGACCCACAATTAGGAGAATTTCCATAAAGTTTTTAAGCGATAGAATCATTCGAGTACGATGACATCTAGATATTTCAATGATGAACTTACTTTTGGCTCACCCCATGCGTGTCTTTCCAATTTAAAATTGATTAAAGCGTTTATCTAGCAAATCCAAAATTTACTACTTTTAATTCTTTTCTTATTGAAAATTTTATTATGTATTTATATTTTTTTATATTAATTTATATTAATTATTTTTTATATTAAGAATTTTAATTAATTTTTATGACATTGTATATTATTCAATCAATAATGATATATTTAGATGTAACTTTTTTAAATTCTAAATTAAATATTTAGAAAAAGAGATGATGGATCGATGTCTTAATCCATTTTCTTTCCGGAATTATCAATCGTTCAATAGAAAAAAAGTAAAGAAAACACAAGGAAAGTGGAAAAGAAAATGATTTTGTAACTATCGACACCTACCTAATTACGATTTTCTTACAAATTTACTTTAAATATTTAATATAAGAATTGCTTAAAGCGAAATCACTACTTCACAACCTATTGACATAAGTCGCGGGTTCGCACCCCACCGACGAGCAAGCACGTGGAGTTATATTTTCTTGATTGTTTGTATACCGCAACGCGACGCGTGGGTCATCTGCCAAAGGGGAATGTTTCCTTTCTATAGGAAACTGGCCCCTATTTCGGTGTTATTAACGTCGAGAAAACCTGGATAGACGCGAACCCACAACTAGTTTTAATGGTTTTATTTTCTTGGCACTGGTGGGCACGTGGAGTTTTCTGGGATTTCTCTGGCAACGTGGAGTTTCCCAAATTTTCTTCACGTGTCTTATATCTAAATAGGGACCAAATTCTCATAGAGAAAGTACTCCTCTTAGTAGATCGCCCTGGATTCGCATTACAATACTTAAAATCCTAAAATGTTTGGCCACAGTTTGATACAGGCGACCTTTAAAATCGTCAGTGGCCATATATTAAGACACTTCTTTGGACGAATTGATAATTTCGTGGTATATAAAATCAAATATTTCTTAAATTTTTATGTACTAAACATTTAATTAATCACGTGATCAACTCCGCCATCATCGATATCTCCTCGCTACATGCTAAAGAATAAAGAATCCCAAGGGATTTTAGTAATGGAA